AATAATATATATGTGGAGTGTAGTATATATATATATATATATACATATATATATATATTATATATATATACGTATATGTATATATATATATATATTTAATATTCATATATATATATATATATATATACGTATATCATAAATGTTTAGTATTCGTCAATCGATTAGCGTATCGTATGCGCGATTTAGTCTAAGATTATTAGACATGTTCGCCATTTGTTTGTATTATTTAATACTTTCAGTACTCGATTACATGTGCTTCTAAACCCTGTGTTTAGCGCCGCCTGTGTCAGCAAGTTCAAATTATTCGTTGGACTGATACCAGTAAGTTCGCGATCTACTATGTTATTGTAAGAATTTAAGATATCGTCGTCTGTTGATCGTGTGCTCTCTTTGACACTATCGATAGATACGAGCACTTTGTACCTATTGAATACTCTATGACTGATAAGTGCCCGTCGTAGCAGTGAGCTCAAAATAATCGCCGACCTCACGCCAAATATCCCATATAACCATAGTCTTGTTTCATTTAGAAGGCTATGATAGAACACCAGACGAGAGTTTCTTCTGTCGATAGGGTGTACTGCATAGGTCTATTGGCTTATACAATCTTTATCTAACTGTTCGTAGGTTGATCGGGTTTGCGTTGCGAGGTACGTAGCATTCAGACAAGAACACTAAAGGAGGTTTCGTTGACTAGCCAGTGGCCACTCAGTCAGTACAATACTCGCCACTGCCCCAGTGCCCTTTATACAGGTTTCCTGTCAAGTGACAGGCTGTCCTGTCAACACCTGTATCAGGTGCCCAGAGGGCTCAGGCCTCGGGCTGTGTGTCCACCCCCACGAGGCCATTACTCCAAGGCCCAGGCGCCCAGCTGGCGGGCTATCCAGAGTCCAGACTCCAGCCAAAGAGCACTTTCCTAAAAACAAAAATCACAGAATTGTACGTCAAAAAGAGCTCGTTGCTGTTGACTATAGCCTGCGCCCTGCTGTGTAGGGCTGTAAATAGGGCGTAGGGCCGGAGGGCTTAGGCTGCTCTCTACTAGCTCTCTCTAGAGTAGTAGTAGAGAGAGAGTTAAATAGAGATAGTAGCTGTAGCCGCCTGTAGAGTGTAGGCTTGTGTGCAAAAAGCGGCTGCCCCAATAAAGACTGTCCCAAATAAATTGTTTGGACTATTTGTCCCAATTTAATATACCGTGCAGTGCTGCACGTGTATAAATAAAATATATATGATTGTGTGTATCGCTAATATTTTGAAAATATAATATACAATATTGATACATACCGAATGTCCAGTGTGTCTGCGAACCTATTAGTGAAATTGAATGATTGTGCGAGTGCACGGAAGTTTATGCATACTACATACAATTAGATAAACGACGCACAGAAGATCATCAGATAATCTGATTACGGCTACAAAAATAACGCAATCCTGCATTCCATCGTACTCTATTCCATCGTACTCCCATCATGGTGAGTACTCGCAACACTAAGCGTGCCTCAATCGGTGGGGCTGAAAAGGCGGGCGCGCCCTCAAAAGCAAGCAAGCTCAGTACCACGCCTGCGAAAACAAGCAAGACAGACACACCGACTAAATGTAGTTCGTCTACGGAACGTGTTCCGCGCACACGCTCACGCCGGATTCAAACACGCACAGTTTTGGCTGAAACGGCGGATGAGAAGGGCACGCCGGTGAAATCAGAGACGAGTGAGAATTCGATAGATCACGCGAGTGGAAGTACGCCTAGTACTGAGAAATCTAGTATTAATAGTGAAAAGAGTACAACAGAATTGTTAGACGCAAGCGCACAGATAGACCGTGACGGTGCAACAGATGTAGAGACCACAAAGGTGGATGATGTGCAAACAGCGGAGTCTGTAGAAGAAAGTTTACTGGAACCAAATGAAAAATCTTCAAACAAAAAGTCAAGTAAAAAGAAAAAAAGCAGCTTCAAAATTGATAAACTCAAGGTATCCAGCACACAGGATGGGAATCCAGAAGTATTCGAGGCAGACCCGGACGCGGATACGACTGTCTTGTCCGTTGCTGATGCCACTGATTTGGTAGAAGCAAGAAAAGCCTCCGCCAAGCGTAGTAAGAAGAGAAGCAAGAAAATTAGTGCCAAGACTACGCATGTGGCGTCTGCGAATACTGTTGAAGTTGAGGATAGTAGCGTTCCTACAGCAGATAGTTCGATAGAGGCTGCGACGGAGTCGGCGAAGAAGAGTGGTAAGAAACAGAGCAAAAAAACTAGTGTCAATACTGCGCCTGTGACCGTTGAAAGTTTCGAAAAGGAAGCTCTGAATGAGGTTATCGTGTCTCTAGATGAGATTATCCCGGAAGAGACTATTGCGACTGATACAATGATTGTAGATGAGGCTAAGAACGATAGTGTTGACGAGGACGAAGAAGTGTTTACTACAGCTGACGAGGGGCCTGACGGAGAAAGTGAGGAGATGTTATATAGCGAAGGAAACACTGGAAAATCAGAAGCTGTTGCTGCTGCGAAGTCAAAAAAGATAACCTTTGGCGATGATGACGAGTACGATTCCAATGCGATTCTACCCGAGACGAAGGATGAAGTACAGGCTAACGATATGGCTGAGAGTGATCGCGACGACGAGGCGCCTGATGCCGTTGGGTTTACCACCGCTCAGCAGATCGCTGTAGAAGCGGAAAAGATGCGTATGCTTGCGCTACAGGAAGCCAAGTTAAAGAGAGCGGAAGAAGAGGAAAAACGGAAGGTAAAAATAGAGGCGCAAAGGGAAGCTGCTCTGTCTAGGAAGCGTAAGGGAGAGCGTTTGCCTATGGATTTTCTGAAGGCTATGAACGACGAGGTTGTGCTAAATGAGCAGAAGGAAACAGCGGTTTTGAAGGCGGCGCGAGAGTTTGATGGGCTTCAGGTAAAGAAAAGGAAGGGTAAGCGAACCAAGTTTGAGTACGATAGTGCCCTGGGAGTGTCGACTATCAAGAATGGCGTGTTCACTATCGCTGTGGCGGATGACAAGGGGGGAAAGAAGAAGCGAAAGGGACATAGAGGAGGGGCTAAGATCACGGATGAGGTGAGGGATTTCAAGAAGCAAATGATCGAGGAGCGAAACAAGCGCTTTGTGTCACAAGGGACGGGAGCCCTCACTGGTCGCAAAGTGCGCCCGTCGTTGTTCGTCGCCAAGAAATAGGGGGGCTGATGTGTATGAATATTAATAAAATTTAGCTGAAGGTAGAAGTTGAGGAAACTCGTTCACGGCCAGCGAACGGTAAAGTTAGGGGTGAAGCGCAAGACATAAACTAAGTGGTATATCGTAACTGAACATGACTGGGATTCTAGTATGAACCCAATAATAGAAACACTGCGAGGGCTTGCGCCCGGACACCTTCACATTTCTCTTGCACAGCCGGCAAGTATTAGTTTTTGATCCGTGTGCCGTGATAAGGGCGCATGGGATGACGGAACAAAAAGTTTCTCAGGGCGAAGAAGTAAAACATTTTTAAATTCGTCAGGCTCTGCTTACATATATGTGAAGAACTGCTACAATTGCGCGTTTGCGATAGCGTACCTCAGCTGCGTCGATTGGAGAACCCTACTGTTATCAAATTGACGGTACCGTATTTTCTCTCGACCCAGCTTTAAACATGAATAAAGTATATGCCCGATGTCATGTCTGCATTTTTCTTTTGTTTGACAAGCGCGAATAGTTTTAACGTCGCTCGAAGCTACACTTCCATACAGTGAACTTTCAGCCGTCAAGACGACTATCACACCCCATTGCTTCCCGTACTCTCTCCAATGATCATTAATGAACTTAATTCAACATCAGCTCTTGGATGGTCACCGGGGCTTTGGGATAGTCTGAAGTAACTACACTCGCCATCGATTGTGTTTCCAGTGCCATGTTATCCTTGTTCGGCTACCGTAAACCCTGCTCCACTCTCATCGGACGTCAACGATTTTTTTTCCGAGACATCGCCTGTCGTCCACCAGAATCCGGTATGGTTATGTCTTCCGGTTTAATTAGCACTTTTTAAGTCACACGAAAAGTCCGATCCACATTCCAAATCAGCTGAGCAATGCTCCACGAGAAGTGTAACATCACACCATGAATGATTTCTTGTCGCCGGCCCACTCGTAGACGTCGATATTGTAGACAGTGCCATCTCTATACGCACACACAGAGTTAGCTGTATGGGCCGATGGGTATTAGTTCTAGATCGATACCTATGCGATTAGTAGGCTACCTCATTGCAAAGTGTTGTCAGACCACAACCCCACGAATGTTATAGCGCACGCAGGTAGTATAGAGCTTCATATCAGTAATTGGCACGGATACCACGTGCAGATTACCTCACACCAGAATCTGTATCTTTCTTCAAAAGGGCCGGTGACCTTCACCTTTTGCATCCATGGACACATGGTCGAACCAATTCGGACCAAGCGTAGCATTGTCTGGGATTTAATGATATTTTCCTGATACTTATATGTGATGTATTCCCTGGACCTTTTTAGCAATGCTTGTTGGCCGTTGGGCCTTCATTGGATTAGTCCCTCTCTACATACATAGCAGTTCTGTCAAGAAATAGAGAAATCGATGACTATGATAAAACTCTTCAATTTTCGGAGCAGTATGTGTAATCGTGTGTGCGAAAGTCAAGTTCTGGATAGGACTTTTGTCCGTTCTCCCATTTTTTAAATTCCTATTTACTTTATCGGATGACGGATCGGTACGCTCACAGACGGCTCACTGCACTGACTGAAAACCACAAGCAATGAGGTAAAATAGTTATACAGCAGTGTACTAAATATATAAATACTGTTATATCGTGTATACATGATTGAATTGTCTGTAGGGCATATGCGTTAAAGTGGGCTAAGACTTATTCCGCTTAATTGTAAACCCAAACTTGGCACGGATTCCGATCTACCTCACAAGACCTCAGACGGCATAAAGGTTCGTCGACGAGACACTTCGGTTGCTGAGCAATTTATCTCCTACAAAACAATTACTTTCCTAGTATACGATATGTACACTTTGCTTGTGTATGCGTTCCTTGCATGCGCAGTTATACATGTTCATGCGACACATGGACTTGTCGAAGAAGGTATGATAGAGTCATTGGAGAAGATCAAGGTAGATGGAATGCAGACGTGTGACATAGGTGGCAATTGTGAGCAAATCGATCCGCTGTGGTCAACTCACACAGACGAACGTATTTGGAGTAAACGATGCACGGTATGGTTCTACTATTCGTATCCAGATGTATTTACATGTATATATACGCGTCCATCCAGGTTTAAGTACTTGTTTCGAGTCCAAAAGATATTTCAACCGTAACGATATCATTTTAGGCCATAAGTGCATGGCAACAGATTAAATTAATATATATATCTATATCTATATCTATATATATTTTCATATATATATATATATATATATATATATATATATGTATGTATATATATATATATTGGAATAAATAGGCCCTTGCTTTATCTAGCTTTTGCGCCTGGTGAGCTATCGACATCAGTATATAGATATATAGATATATAATATATATATATATATATATTCGTATATATATAATAATC